TTTTTTTTACAGTAATTGTTTTTGGCTTAAAACCTCTCAGTTAAAATTTTATCGGGGACAAAAGGTCCAACAGGAGGACACCTAAATGAATCCTACTTCTCAAATTTACCTTCACAGATGACACCGGCATCTTCTTTGTGGCTGCAGTCATGAGATCCAAACCCTGAGTGATGACACTCGAATAGGTTGATTTCCCCTCCTGTGCATCCAACCTCATCCATCCAGATGGGCCCTGTGCCTTGTCCAAATTGTGTATTAGTTGGTGCTGAGAGGACCCTACCACAACCCAGCTGCCTACATACCACCTGAGCATCCTCCTGGCCCCAAGAATCATCACACACTGTCCCCCATTGCCCACTGTGGAAGATCTCCACCCTGCCAGAGCAGGAGCCGTTTCCTCCATTAACCAAGCGAACAGTTTCTTGAATTTCTGTGTTAAAAAGAAATACATACAAAATATAAAATCCGGGACTCAATAATAATTTTTGTGATAAGTCACTGTATACTGTAAAACAACACTGCAAACTACCCAGTTTAAACTATACTTTCCTTCCACTTGAATGTTTAACAAAATGGTAGTATTCAATGTCAAAGAGCCTGTAGGTAAAATATTGTAGTGTAAAGTAAAAATAATTGTATAATAGTTGGTCACTGAAAACCAGTGACCAGTTGAAATTATATCAGGGACATACAGTCAAACAGGTGGAACCTCAGGCTTGCCACCTTCTCAAATTTACCTTGACAGATAACACCAGTATCTTCACTGTGGCGGCAGTTGTGAGATCCAAACCCTGAGTGGCGACACTCAGAAAGCTTGGATTCCCTCCCTGTGCATGACACCTCATCCATCCAGATGGTTCCTGTGCCTTGTCCAATTTGTGCATTAGTTGGTATGGACAGGACCCTACCACAGCCCAGCTGCCTACATACCACCCGAGCATCCTCCAGGCCCCAGGAATCATCACACACTGTCCCCCACTGCCCACTGTGGAAGATCTCCACCCTGCCAGAGCAGGAGCCGTAACCCCTATTTACCAGGCGGACCTCCCCCTCAACTCCTGTGCTGTTGTCCACTGCTGTTGAACCAGTGACATTAACCGGAACAGATGGAGATGTCTGTGGTCTTGAAGTAGTTGTGGATAAACCAAAGCCCAGATCTGTTGAGTTCACTTCTGTTTGACATTAAAAAAGAAATACAAATAAATAGTAGTGCAGCAATGATGCTTGAACCATATTTTTTATAAACAGTTTATTTTATTTTGACCAGTATTACGCAGTAATAGACACTCTGGTCCATAGGGTTTATGTCATGCTTTGCCTCTTGCAAGCATGATATTGGTTGTATGAATTATCAAATTACGCACCGAATATCACCAAAATAGCAATTGCAGCAATTGCCTTTCCAAGGACTGCACATTTTGCAAAATACTGGAGCATAGGATCCACACCTGTTTGAGTTTATACATCTCACTTTTATTCTTTGCTTTAAGCACATTTCTGACTATCACGCACTTTCACATTATGATGGTGCATTGGTGGCAATTTGGAGTACAAGAGTGTGTGAAGCCTGGGACAGATTTAACAACATAGATTCCAAGGTTTTCTGGCAAAAAATTAATTAATTAATTAAAAATCGTAAGATGACCAATTTAAATTTTCCAAGGTGTTGAACTGACCGCAGATCATTTTATAAAATCTCAAGTAGAAATCTGTAAAAGTAAAGTACCAGAAAATGGCTAAAATTCAGCCAAAATATAATAATAATAATAATAATAATAATAATAATAATAATAATAATAATAATAATAATGAACACAAACAAGAGGAAGTGAATTTTACCCATTCCCCCAAAAGCAGAAGATGCATAAAAGATATCAATAAAGAAAGGAATGGGCACTCAGGGAATGCTTGTATATTGGGCCCTGAGTTCTGTGCTACAGCCCAATATCCACCTGTGGTGTTTCGTCCATCCATTTCTGTATGGTTGGGAGTTTCTGGATTGGCAAGACAAGTGATTCCATCCTGAAGATCTGTTAAAAAGATAAGCAATCAGTAGTTACTGTCCTGTTAAATACACATTAAAATATAATATTTATACTTTAATTGAATATTTACTTTATTTTATTGTGATAAAGTTTTAAAATTAGTTGTTAAACTTGCTATATTTTCACTTAATTATTTGAATTTGCAAAAATCAAAACTTTGTGATCCTTCCCTACACAAACCATCTACTGATAAAGATTATGTTAAAAGGTTGTGAAGAAGAAATTAGGATTTGAGTTTGTTTGTGATGACATCTTCTTCAGCTTTTTCTACACTTGTTAAATTAGGCTTTTGAACTTGTTTAAACATTTGAAATTGGGTATTTATTTATTTATTTCTGTTGTGTTGCAGCTGGATAGTGTAGTGGTAAGACTACATGCCTTTGGAATGGGAGTCGTGGGCTACTGTATCCTGTAAGCGTCCCTAGGCTAGACCCCCGCAGGCTAACCAAGAATGAGCGAGAGACAGAGTAACCAGGACACACTGATGAGAAGTGGGCTAGAAGAAGATGGTATAAGTGCTGAAGAGATGAAAATTGGGCGCTGTTGGAATACTACTGCGCAAGTAACCCCAGCAGAAGGGGTTACATGAATAGGACAAGGGACCTATGGAATCTTCAATACCCAGCATCCAGATTGATGATGAAACAACTAGTAGCTCAGTGTTCTAAAATTCGGAAGAAGGTACTGCTCTCATGGCTAGAGATTGATGAGGTACAACACAATGCTACGGCAAGCGGCACCAGGACGACAGGTCAGGGAGGAGATATCATCATCACCCCCACCCGAGTTTGGGTACCAAGCCCCAAGTGCGATGGAAGACGACGCATTGTGAGAGGAACTGACCTGAAAGATGGCATCATGGCAAAACTTGAAACCTGGACCCTCCGTAGCCTATTACCAAGGCTACGTGAAGTACCCCCTGAGGATCTACTAGATGATGTGAATGCAGCGCTGCCACAATTACCAAGACTAACCAGTTGACCAAAGCAGCAGTGATCAGTGAGTGATCAGCCACAAGGAGCAGTACCCTCCATGGAGAAGGAGACTGGACTGCAGAAAGGTAGAATGAAGAAGGTGCCTAACAAGTACAGCACGCTGTGAAACTGCCGAGCAAAGAGGTATACCAGAAAAACAGAAGGCAGGAGAATAAACCAGTTGTTCTCCACAGAACCATCCAAGGTGTAGTCGTAGTGGCATGGGAATATAAGAACAACACCACCAAGGCTGGAGACATAGCAATACTGGAGGTGCATATGTGATAAGCGCACAACACATAACTGCAAAGCTCATGAGCACTGCCATTACTGGACCCGAGCATGGTCCAGTAACCATCACATTGGCAGACATCCAAGAAAGTGTCTCCAGAATGAAGAATTGGACATCACCAGGCCCCGACATGATTCACAATTACTGGCTGAAGAATCTGCTTGCACTCCATGAGCGTCTCGCAGTACAAATGAACCAGCTGGTAGTTAATAAGAGACACCAAGAATGGCTAACTGAAGGCCTGACAGTCTTGATCCCCAAGGGTCCGCCAGAACCTGCCTCAGTACCAGATGGAAGCTCCTGTCAGGCATCACAGCGGCTAAGATGAACAGGCACATTCCTCAAAAAGACACATAAAGGAATTGGGAAGAATACCAGAGGAGCAAAGCACCAGCTACTGGTAGACAGAGCACCACCAGGATACACAGCAACGACATTGGAATGCAATTCGGATTGGAGAAGTGTAGTTGTAAGGTAGTCAGAACTGAGGGGATTGTACTACTAGATGGTAACATTGGCAACATGTATCTAGGAATCCCCACAGGAAAATAGGAACCACAAAGAGGCCGCAGGTAAGCTGCAACCACCAAATACCTGCGGAGGGTCAGGCAAGTCCTGAGAAGTCAGCTGTAATAGAAAGAACAAGATTCGGGCAATCAATACCTATATCCTGCCCGTGACCACATACCCTGCTAGGATAATAATCTGGCCAAAGGAGGAGATAGAAGCCACTGACATCAAGATAAGAAAGGTTCTAGATCATGGATGGAGGGTTTCTGTCACAGTCTGGCGAGGGCAGACTGTATGAATTGAGAAAAGGACCCAAAACGCAGACTCCAAGGAACAGGGAACAGAACTTGAAATGTTAACAAAAGGCGAGCCGTTTAATATGGCTGGTAGAAAAGGTACAAACAAAGGGCAAGGCAAACTGAAGCAAAATTAACACAAACCTAAACTGGGGAATCTAAACAAACAATAAGAAAAACCTAGACAAGAAACTTGGAAGCATGGCATGGCATGGCATAGGAAACATGGCGTGGACAACAGACAACCTGACAATCACACACTGAAAACAGAGGACTTAAATACACAGCAGGTGATTAGGGGAAGTGGGAACACATGGAGGAACAGCTGACTGACATGAGCCTAATGACAGGACAAGGGAAGTGAAACTAAATACAATGAACAAAGAACACACGACTCCTTCAAAATAAAACAGGAAACATGAGACAGACATGATAATACAAACTTGATAACATAAGACACGCAGCATGAAACACGAAGGTTGAGGGGAAACTTAAATACAGGGGAAGAAAACACAAGGAGTCTAATAACCAAATGAACTTAGATAACCTAATGAACAAAATAAACTCAAACTTAAAACGCTGGGTCAAAAGACCCAGGATCATGACAGTTTCACCCCAAGACGGAAGGAAGGAGGCCAAGGACTGGTGAGTGTCAGAACCGCTGTTCAGGATAAGACAACAATTATCCACGAGAACATCAGGAAGATAGCCATAACCAACCTTGTGCTTAATGAATACCTCAGCAGTGTTGGGAAGGTTACTTTTAAAATGTATTCCACTACAGATTACAGAATACATGCCCCAAAATGTATTTTGTAACGTATTCCGTTACGTTACTCAATGAGAGTAACGTATTCTGAATACTTTGGATTAGTTCATATATTATCATGCTTTTTACAATTACACAAATGTATTATTGCAGGGTGATTTATTACTATTACTTAAGGTTATTCGCCATATCAATACTAACTAATGTCACGGTACTTTTGGGTCTCATCTTCACACTGGCGCACCCTGCCGTGACAACAAAATTTTTAAATCTTAATATAAAATGAGTAACAGTAGGGTGGACATTGGGTAAGGCTCCACTTTTTTGCAGCGATCTCGTATAGAAAACTATATAAAACAGGTTTGAGGCTCCGAACCGTAAAGCCGTAAAACCATAAAGGGACCTCTGGCTAATACGTCGAGTTCCGTGTCTGGTTCCGTGTCCAGCTCGTAGCTAGATTCTTTAGGGCTATGCCTGTAACACTCTGCCTATTGCTTCATATTAAATCATTTTTTGAATAACTTTTTAAAATATTTCTTCACGTCATTATGCGGGCCGCAAGTAGGGGTGACATGGGCTGTGAGATTGAGACACAGGCCTTAGAGCCTCTTAATGCGTGTTTGGTTTGGGTTTCCAACGATGTGGAATTACCAAAAATAGAATGGGCATAGCCTAATATATGAAACAGGAAAAGACCACCGTGTAATCCATTTATTACAACAAAGTAACTGTATTCTGAATACCACCCTTCTAAATGGTAACTGTAACGGAAGACAGTTACTCATATTTTGTATTTTAAATACGTAACGGCAGTACATGTATTCCGTTACTCCTCATACTGTAGAGAAGAGGCACAAGGAGAAGAACCATCATGAAAGGACAGACCCCTGCATGGTATGTAGCACCAGCAGATAGAAGAAGTCAAAGCAGCTTAAACTGATTAATATACCCCGCTGCTACTTAACTAACCAGATTAATAAGCCAGAGGTTTAATTAACTTGATGCTATACTCTAATTAAAAGTTTTTTGAGCAGTGGCAATTGTTCTGAGTTTTTCTTTTTATACTGGAGGAAAAACAACAGCGATCTGAAAAATAATTTCTGGGGATGAAACAGGGATGAAAGAACACACCATAAGTAGCACATAGCAGTTGTGCTAAAAGAAATGATATGAACTTACTCCTGGCAGGTTTATATTTATTTATATTAAGTTATCTTTTACTTTTAATGTACTTGGAAGTGGTGTATGTCGTGGTTCACTGCTGACCTATTTTCAACGCCGAATAAATAAAATGAAGAAAGGCTGAATACATGAACTGCTGAAGCAGTTAGTGTTTAAAAATTAACAAAGTTTAAGGATTAATTCATGAGAAAAGAAAAGACAAGTAACACTGAATATTAGAGATGAGAACTTACTCACTTAGGAGGATGAAGCAGATCAAAATGTGATAGCCTTTCATCTTGAGTCACTGATGGGTTAATGTTGCTTCTTTTCTTTTTTACTTGCAAACCAGGAACTTCTTACTTCTCTTGTTCTTATGTCCCCCCCCCCCCTCCTGACTCCTCCCCTCTGCTTAAGGGTTTACCAACTGCACTGTCAAAGAATAACTGTGTATGAATTAAAGTTATATCTTTTCAAGTTATCCCTCAAAACTTAAATATTCTTTGTTTTCCCTCATTTAGTCGCTACTGAAAACAGGCTGTTTGTGTTGTATTGAATTGCAAAATATTAATTTATCATCTTGCAGTCCTGTAGTTTCAACATGTCAAACAGTGAAAACACTTCCTGTCCATTTTCTGTCCAAAACAGCAGTGATTAAAAGATATACCAAGCTGTGGACAGGCACACAGAGAGAAGTTTTGCACCAATGTCGAATTCAAAGATTCAAAACTGAGGACATAAAGGGATGCACAGGATCAGGAAGAGCTCTCAGGCTGACTCATTAGTTATCAAATACCTAAAGTGTGCCAAGAAAACAAGCTGCGGCCACCTACTGACTTCAAATTATGAGTCTTAGAGACTGCTTCTGAACCAATGACCAAGTCAGTAAATCTGCTTTCAATATCTTGTCTCGGTGTTTGGTGTGTCCTTTCTCTCTTTCTGGTCTGTCATAACTCATAAGAAATTTGTCACATTTGAGCCCACTGATCACTCTATAGAGGACACATACTGATGCAGGTACTATTTCTGGCAATAATAATGATTAACATGATCAGCAAAAAGCTGTCATCAAGACAGTGAGAGACTTTGACTGTGTTTTGTAAATAATTGCCGTTTTACACATTCAGAATACACAGAGCAACATTACCACATTTCACATTCATACTGTGCAACTATTAAACACTTTTCACTTCCGCTTTTTACTTTCATCTATGGAATAGATGTGAACTTTGACTACTGCTGTGTGTATTGCATGGTAAATTTAGCTGATCTGATTTTTTGATTGAATCAAAGTTGATAAGTGTGAACAGCAACAATAAAACTAATGAAATGAGATGAAAGATACTAAACATATTTTTATTCTCTCTCTTCTTCCTCTGTAATTCATTTTGCATAATATTATGTGTAAAGAAGCAGGTAGATATGTGCCTTGCTGTGGGAGAGGACGGGCTGAATGTGCATATTTAGCCCATTAGATCAAGGTACTTACAAACTGTATTGTGCAATTTACTTAAATTTGTTTGTTTGTTTTTTGAAGGGGAGGGGATCCCACTGATGATGCTGAAGTCTGAAAAACTGACAAAATCCCACGTATCAAATATGACACACTAGCGTCAGGGGTGTTTGGCTCCAGGCCTCAAGGGCCAGTCTCCTGCAGGTTTTAGATGTGTCTTTGATCCAAAACAGCTGATTTGAGTGGCTAAATTACGTCCTCAATATGTCTTGAAGTTCTCCAGAAGCCTGTTAATGAACTAATCATTTAATTCAGGTGTGTTGACCCGTGGTGTGATCTAAAACCTGCAGGACACCGCGGGTCTTGAGGACTGGAGTTAGACACCCCTGCACTAGGTATTAAGGCTTTACACTTTTATGTACCAGTGAAAAAATTACTGGATTTCAAGCTGACCACAGCAGCCAGGCTCAGAGGAGCGCTGATTTACACAGAAACAGAGACACAATAGCATCATTAATGAATTTCTTATAACTTTTTTGTTTTTTTTGTCAGTATAAACAAGTACAGTATTTGTATCTGGCTCTTTGACTACTCAGTACTTGACTTTGAAATGTGTAGTGTGCTCTTTTATTATGATTTTTATTTATTTTTTTGTTATAACTGAAAAAATATTGATGAAAGCATTGTGTGGGAAAAAAGTAAAAAGAACAAATGGAAATCTGAAAGGCACTAAAGCCTGCAAGGAACTTTAAGAGACAAAAAAGCCAGATGATAATTCGTATAATGATAATGTGATGATAGTTATTATTACAAGTGTTTCAGGGGAAGAAGAAACATTGGCTACTCTGTTGGACAAGAGAAAATGAACAACCTGAGAAGGCAAACTCGAAATCAATGCTATGATCGGATGATGTGGCTCAGCTTGGAGAAAAGAATCACAACTCAAATTAATTTGTAATGTGAACTCCCATAGATTTACTTTGTGTACAAAGTTTTTAACAACTGAATTCAACAAAATGTCAGCAGATGTTTTCAAAGGTATCTGAGCTAAATTCCATTTCCTACACTAACAGTATAATATGTATTGTCTTTATAAAGATTGAACTCAGTGAATTGGCATCATCCGCGTACATGCAAATTCATCTCTGCTACACTTGATGTAACAAAACAGTGACCATGAGCAGCACAGCCACTGTGCACCAGTCCAATACAATCCTCTTTTACTGTGAATTCACCACAGTACTGTAAGCTGCATTTACATTTACATTTACATGCAACTAAATATGTAACTAAATATGCGATTTATCAAGTCTCACTGAGCAGCACTTATTTAAATATAACCTCTCTTCTTCCACTCCTGCCTTTCTTGCATCTTTATCTCTGACTAAAGTTATCTGGTAATCAATTATCTCCCCTGTGAAATACAGTAGCTATACCTCTAGCTAGCAATACACTGTGCAACAAATGCACACAAACAGTTTATGTGTTTGCTGATGTTTGTTGAGCTATGTTGTATTTGAACTTATCCAACAGTTAAAAAATATCACTTCCTTTATGCTCACTATTCTTCTGTAGCTGCATGCAGAACTGCAGCTGCTACAAGTTATGGAGATCTGCACTCGTTGCAGTGTTGTGCCAAACCTGCCCACTTTAACCCCCTGAGTATAAAAGCTATTAATGATACCATTTAAGCTAAAGTAACAAGTCTGTTTGAAAATGTAAGGAGTAGAAAGTACAGAGTTTTCTTAACAATGTAAAGAGTTTAATGTTGTTAGAAAAATAAATACTTCACAAATGATACCTGTTACTGTGGGAACTGATGAAGTATCTGTACTTTGTTACTTTTCACATGTATTGCTTTTTTATCATCGTGTCATATTTTCCCATGGGACCCAGCAGTAGTCAAAGTCATTCTAAAAGCAAGTATTGCAACTTGCCCGCTGCAGGTGCATGAAAAAGAAAAACAGTTTAGACTTTTGAGAAGGTCTGAGTTTGTTCTTACGTTGGATTCCTCTTTTTAAATGGCTGAATTATTATTCATTGAGGTATTGGGTCAGGTATAATTTCTACATGCTAAAAAATATGTACTTTCAGGAAACGGGGATCAGTTTCTAGAATCAGGTACTTCACATGTGTCAGGTGAAGGCTCAGATCCTTCTGAACCATCTATGGAGCCAACATAAGGCACTAAAAGATCTTTCACAGGTTTTAGTCAGGCAACCTGAATGATACTTTTCAGTTAAAGGAACATTAGAGTCCAGTAGGTTGTACATACTGAACGTGTCTTGAACAACACCAGACTCTCCCAGACAGTTCAGTTTCCACCAATCATCACTTAGTCTTCCTCTTTAAAGTCAGTGTGGTAATGCAGTGTTGACTAATGTGGCTCAGACAAGACGTGGCCTGATGCTTGACTGCGTGTCTGAATTCCATTAACCAGTTCCTTTTTCACCAGAAAAACAACACTAAAGTTCATAGAAAATACTCTGATTTAGAAGAACTACAGACCTCACTATTTATAGTTAAAGTTGACTAAGCAACTGTTACGACCAGAGATGGGGAGTAACGCGTTACTTGTAACGTGTTACTGTAATTCGATTACTTTTTTCAAGTAACAAGTAAAGTAAGGGGTTACTATTGCAAAAACGGTAATTAGATTACCGTTACTTTCCCGTAGGAACGCTGCGTTACTGCGTTACTAAAACCGTGATTTTTTTGCGAGAATGTCTTATGACAGTGATGTAAGCGAGTGCGACGTTCGTGACAACAGCTCTTTGCAGATCAACAATGGATAATATATCAAGTATGGAGAGAGTATGAGCATGCATACTCTCAGCGTTTAAAGCGTGGAAGTACTGACCTTACTTTCAGTTTGATTCCATAAAAAGTGACAAAAACATTAGCGTCCGTTGTGCGTGGGAAGAAAACTTCTTTTTACAGTAAAAAAAAAAAAACCCTAAACTTCCAAGCAAGCACCAAGTGCGCTACGACGTAATGGGAAACTCACAGAGAAACTCGCGGATTCTTCCACTGACACCTGCACCAGGGTAAACCACCGCCTACCCTACCCCTGCTTTACAGGTGAAAACAGAGCAAAAGGACTGCTAGTCTTTGACTT